TGTGTTAAAAAAAAAAAAAAAAGTAAATGAATCTAGGGAGAAAAGRAAAAAAAAAAAGCCTCACATATGTGAATCACACCTGGCTTTGGCTCAATTTAGAACCACAGAGGGCCTAGGAATGGAGGCCTAAAGGCAATATTTTCTTTCACTGGTTAAGAAGGGTTGATGGAGGGAGGCTTTCTGCTGCCAGAACGCTCATTAGCTAGGCAGCCTTCCCAAGCCCGCTTCCTCCTCAGCCACCTCACCAACGCGAAACCTTTACTAGCTGAGGCCCAAGGAGCGAACACTGTCACTCCTGCAGATTGTCCATTTCCTGGGGAAGGCCTTGAGGTTTGGAGGATAGAAATGGTTGGCACTCGTGTGGCTGGGAGGAAATCAGAAGAAAGAGCAGCTAGCCCCTACATTAAACACTGTTAACTTCCTCACCAAAGCAAAAGCAGGGCCGGGAGYGGTTTATTATTTGGCCTCTTAGGAGGTGTGGAATACATTAGCACACAGTTTTTGGATGGCCTTGTAAATGGCACACAGAGAGATTGCTTAGCTTCAAAAAATGATTGATACTTCTTTTACTTTAACAAATGAGAAATGTTCGTGACAGTAAGGAACCCTGTTACAAGCCAGGTTTTCTCATTAACAGTGAAACATGGATAATTATTCACTGGGAACATACACAGTGGGAATTCATGTTAGATTCCTTATTTTGACTATTGCTGCTCGCAACCTCAGAGACCACAGTATACACACAAAGACACACACATAAATATGTACATAAGAGTTCAGGGGCCTGCAGTCCATGTGCACTAAGAAGCCACCAATTTTGAGTACAAAGGAAGTTTTTAAGAATAACCTATGTGGTCAGTTAAAAGCCTGGAAAGACAGATCAGCAATGGAAAAGCCAGACAATCAGCAATTTTGTTCATTGACTTTAGTTGTATGTTGTTTATCTTGGTTGTTAATTTCCTTTTGAAAGATATAAAAGTGGACTAAAAGTAGACTTTCCTACAGCATTTCAACCTAAGATGCCTGATCATCCATATAAGTACATTCTCTGTGGTCACTCTCCTGATCTGAATACTGTGAACTACATAGCAGATATACATGGCCTCAGGAGTGAGAGGGTATTTTAGGATTGTTGTAGTTAGTATATCGGCAATTGTAATAAAGACATCAAATAACAGGAACGTAAGGCAGAGGTGTATTTCTGCTTGAGTTAGCTTTTTGTTGTTGTAATCAACAAGAACAACTTAGAGGAGAAAAGGTTTATTGGGGGCTGACAGTTTCAGAGGTCTTAGTCCATGTTCATCTGACTCTGTTGCTCTGGGCCTGCGGAGACAGAACATCATGGTAGAAGGACAAGTCCCCAGGGGCATGCTCCCCATGACCTACTTCCTCCAGTCACACCTCACCTGCATATGATTAGCAGTCAGTAGTCTATTCAAATTATTGATCACTCAAGTGGATTAATCCACTGATTAGGTTACAGTTCTCATAATCTAATCATTTCACCTTTGAATATTGCTGCYTTGCCACATGAGCTTTTCAGGGGACACCTCATATCCAAACCATAGCACTGCTCCAAGTCATGATTAGAGGAATATGTTCCAAACTTAAGCTGACAACATATTATATTGGTTAGGGTCAGGGTGGAATTTCTTCAAACTCTATGGCTCTGACATCCCTTGGTGTTGTCCTTCCCCTCCCATGCCAAGATGGCTGGCTGTACAGAAAGAAGGCTGGAGAAGGCAGAAGAACAAGTTCTTTTCTTTTAAAGATATGCTTCATAATGTGTACACATCATTTTTCCTTCAATTTCCCTGAATATAACCACATGCTTCACCCCTTACAGCAAGGGAAGGTGGGAAAACCAAGCAGCTATGTATGTAAACTTCAGGGGTTGGGCAGTGCCTGCCTAGAAAGCAACCAAATTAAAGCTGTTTGAATAAAGGGTGATGAAGTTCAAACAAAAGTGATCTCTGACTTCAGTAGAGCTGAATGAATGAATGATAGTGAGCCAGCAAGGAATTTTAAGTGTCAGATTATAAAATATTTGGAAAATATTTTTGCAAATAGCAAGATGGAACCACACATTTTCTTAAGCTTGTTAAAAACCTTAAAGACAAAGCATAGAGATGAATAAACAGAATAAATGAAAATCAATTAGACACTGGAAATCAATGATTTAAACAATTCGAACATGTTTTTATAATGAATAACATCACATATATACCAAGTAAATAGAATAGTGGGATGAATGTACATGCCCTCATCATCCAGCTTTAATAAACATTCTGCCATTCCTATCCCATATTTCTGCCCACTCTCTGCTCTCTCCCTTCTCCATTGTTCTTTTAGGTAAATTTTATATCCACTGAAATATATCGCCCTAAGTGAAAAATTTTAACATCCATGTAACCACATTCTTATCTAACATACCTTTGACAATTTAAAAATCTCTTTTTGGTCTCATCTCTTTTTCTTCACTTTGGTTCATTCCTATTACCACATCTTCAGTTTCACAGATCCTTTTCTATAATGTTTAATCTTGAACTAATCCTATTCAGTGAACTTTTCATTTCAAAAAAATATATGTTAGGGCTAGGGATATAGTCGAAAGAAGAGTGCTTACCTAGCATGCATGAGGCCCTGAGTTAAATCCCTAGCACCMCAAAAAATTCTATTTATATATACATATAGATGTGTGTATGTTATTTGTAGAAGTTCATTTATAACTTCCACTTTTTTCTCCATGTACGCATGTTTTCCTTTAAATACTTAAAATATTGTAATACCCTGTTATAATACCCTTTTTTATAACTCATTATCCCTGTAATTTCAGGATCTGTTTCCATTGACCAATTTTGGGGGGTGGAGTCCTGGKTAGAGGTCACATTTTCTTACTTCATGACTAGTCAAGGAATATTCAGCTATAGATTTTACATCATAAGTGTCTGGGGTTTTTTTTATCTTCCTCTAGAGATTATTGGGTTTTCTTCTGTTAATCACTTATTTAAAGTTCAATTTGACCTTCTTAAGATTAGTTAGGGTGGATCTAGAATAGCCTTTACTCTAGGACTTTTCTGAGTTCTCCAGTGAATGCCCCAAATTATCAACAAGAATGACCCACTCTAGCTTATCAGAACTTGAAGCCTTTCCAGCCTTATTTGGGTTCTGGAAAATGTTAAGCTCACAGTTCCCTGGTTGCTCTTAGCTCAGCCTTGTAGAATTTAACCCTGTGCTTATACGTCTTAAGTTGAACAAAGACTCAAGAGGAATTTATGCAGATTTCTAGGGCTTCTATCTAGCACCCCCATTTTCAGAATTCTGCTCAAGAACTTCCAGCTGCCTTAGTGTCTTTGAACTTTATCCTTTGTTTCATCATATTGCCTAGACTGTCGTACTTTTCTTAGGATAGTCCTCAGAGTTAAGTTGTGCTCCCACAAAACATGAAATCCTAATGCCCAGTAGCTGTGAAAGGCCCTTATTTGGACTTGTGTCTTTGCAGATGATCAAGTGAGGTTAGTAACTTAGGCCCTAATTCAATATGATTAAGGTTCTTATGAAAAGGTAAAATCCAGATGCAAAGGCAGACTTGCACATAAGGAAGAACACCATGTGATGTGAAGTCTGTAATCTCTGCCTCTYTTCATCCTACGTAACCTCCATGTATAACATCTCTTCCATGAGCCCCTCAGTGGATAGCTCTATTGCACTATGCATTGATCCAAGTAATTGGATTAAAAAGGTCTACTTTGCTCCTATCACTTGACTATATTGGGAAGGGAAAAAGAGAGGTGGGGATGATGAGTCTGATATGATGTTGAGAAATCTTGGGACTTAAAAGCACTTTAAAGATCATTTCATTGGAACCTAAATGTACCTCAAAGATCATCACATGTTCTTGTTTACAAATTTGAAAACTAAAGGCATAGGGCCCTATCAAAACCTAGAATTCTCCTTGAGAATTATGAATTAATATAACTGAAAATTAAAGTAACAAAATTAGGTTTCTTTTCTAAAACTTTCTGAAAAGCTGAGCTTCACCCTGAAAAGTTTCAGAGAGGCTTTAGTGTGCTTTTTTAAAAATCCTACATTAGCTGGGMTCTTCTTGGTAGTCTTAACTATCTTAACTGTCCCGAGAGCAATAAGTAGAAAATAGACATTTTTTCCTAACCAAACTGAGGAAAGGCCTCCACAGTATCTTTATTTTAATGATTTCTCATATTTTAAACTTCCAATAAATATTCTATGGGAGCTAAGTCACTGGGGCCCCAACAGTGAATTTGGCAAGTACTCCAAATTTAGATGAAATGTGTTTTCTCTCATAGTGGCCATCTGTTTATCTTTCCAATTCTGGGATACAAAGGCTTAGGTAGACCCAATGTCTCAGCTTAATATTTTGGAATTTTAATGTATCAAAATATGTTTAATGAGTAGATAACTGTAATATTGTATATATTCAATTGAGGATAAAAGTTATCAAAAAAAAGTTCTTCATGAAGAAATTAGATCAATGTTTAATTTTCCTAGTCTCAGGTGAAGATTTTTTACTTCAAAAATCATATAAAGAGTAAAATGAAGGCAGATATTAGACTTTTACCAATTAATACTTGATTCTTAACTGTTACCATGTAGTATGTTATTTTCCAATGTATTACATTTGAAGAAGCAATTTATTAATAAAATCAGCATTGAAGCTAATTTGAAAAACTATGCAATAATGAATGCTAATTTTATCATTTTTTCTTACCAATTAGTACAGGGGCATAAACAGATCTAAGAATTTTTGTAAAATTTAATGAATGAGAATCACTATTCCAGAAGCCCACATAATAAAAATATCTTCTGTTTGTTAGGAATGACTAACATAAGATAAGTGCTAGGGGTAAAGCCACGGTATGTGTATGCCTTCTAGAGTCATAAAGACACAAAACAACTCTCCAGAAATGTGTCTTTTTCAGGCTTTGCCAATGGCTTATTTCTCCTCTCGTCTCTTCCTCCAGGCTGCCCCATCAAAGGCTATCCCACCCCCAATATCACCTGGTTCCATGGTGGTCAACCAATTGCCACCACCACAGGACTGACACATCACATCCTGGCATCTGGACAGATCCTTCAGGTTGCAAATCTCAGTGGTGGTTCTCAAGGGGAATTCAGCTGCCTTGCGCAGAATGAGGCAGGGATGCTGGTGCAGAAGGCGTCTTTGGTCATCCAAGGTAAGAACCCATCAGGCTTTAGGATGTCAAAAAGAAAGCCCACCTGGGAACAAGATTCTCCGGGAATAAAGTGATTTCTGAGCTCCTGTGATACCTAGGCCATGAAAACCAAAGCYGAATCCCATTTCAGTGCAATGAAACCGTACTTCTGCCAACATAGCCCTTCAGAAGAGCCACCAGGTCCCATCACAGGAGAACCTGGTCACATCAGCATCGGTGCCTCCTTAAATCCGTCCTTCTGATCAAATATTACTGTTGCTTAAGACCAAGAAAACACAACTATTTATCAAAGTTAATTCTATTTTCTAATTACTAGTTTAACTAGAAAAGAACACACACACACACACACACACACACACACACACACACACACATCCATCCCACAGAATAGCCTACTTAAAATTTCGTGTTCCCTGTTGATTGGGTTAAAAAATACCTCTTGATTGGAACACTAATGGTCATTGTCTCCTGCTGGGGGAGGGGATGGTGTCCTGCCAGCTGCACCTTCTGGAGAGTGGTGGGCTGCAGTCACATGCTGAGGACTCTCCAGGCACCATTCCTTTGACCCTGGCAAAGAACAGTCTGTGAGCTTTCCAGGAATACAGGCAGGTCAGAAAGCCCCTGGGTGGGGCCTGGCATTCACTGCACCAGAAGAGTTGTGAATGAGCCAAATGGTGGGAAGAGAGCCCAAACCGGCCTTTTTATAGAAACTATGGAAGGCTTTTGAGTTTTCCCTAGGCTAGTTCTACCTGTGACCTTATGTGATATGCTTAAGGAAAGTCAAATGCTACTGCATTTATTCCAAAATGGAGGATTCTGTGGGAAGTGTCAGTTTTGTGCCAACATGGCACAAAAGGAGGGAGGAAAGAGAAGGAAGATTTTTCTGAGCACACAGGTTTTCCTCTTAAAAATTCTCCCCTGCCATTTTGCTTTCCAGAGAGGAAAACAAATGTTCCATTTTCTTGMCAGCCAATTATTCTCTGCTAAAAAACAGAATCCAGGGCCTATCTGCAATGAGAACTTGCAAATATGCACTCAGAGTTTACCAGCYCACATGTATTTTTAATAGCTTTCCTACCAGTGAGTCCCAGACCATCAAATAGAAAAACCAGAGAAATAGGCTTTTTCACTGACATCATTCTCATGTAAATGAGAACTCTCTAAAGAGGCTGYTTTTTAATAACATTTACAAAACTAAAAATAAAAAAAAATTTACAAAATCCAACTCAAATCTCCACTTTTAAATATGATTATCTCTGATATATTTATATATCTCTGAAGAAAAATAAAGTCCCTTTCTCATAAACCAGTAAGAGTACTTTAGTCAGTATTTTAAAAACAATAAGGGCTGTGGCTGTTGAGTAAGTCCTCTCTGTGTGTCCGGCACTGAGCCTGGCCCTTTACTTTCTTCATATCCAACCCTCACAGAGACATGAACACGTGAGAGTTATGGTAGTCATTTTTTGGAGGAATCATATGAGGTTCCTCGAGACCCTGGGGCTTGCCTAATAGGTTGGGAATGGTGCCCACCCAGAAGCAGAGCCTCATTTATAAGAACTTCTCCCTCCCACTACATGCCAACCCCCAACCCCTTCCACCTTCCCCTGGCCCTGCTCAGAAGAAATGGAGTGAGGGCAGTGATGTTCTGCTCTCTTCACCTCTGATCCTCCTCTTRTGACAGATTACTGGTGGTCCGTGGACAGACTGGTGACCTGTTCAGCATCTTGTGGCAACAGGGGTGTTCAGCAGCCCCGCCTGAGGTGTCTACTGAATAACACAGAAGTGGATCCTGCTCACTGTGCAGGGAAAGCCCGCCCTGCTGTGCAGCCCATTGCCTGCAACCGGAGAGACTGCCCTTCCCGGTGAGTGTGGCCCCCCATTCCCAGGGTGGGCCCTAACTTACAACCAAGTTGACGGCCAGCCCTCGTCTAGCACTTGGCAGGGAGAAAAGCAATCCAGGGAGCCATTCCTTCCTTTAGGCGTGGGTTTTCCAGGCCTCTCCGCCTTGCTGACAGTATCCTCAGAATGAGCCCCTCTCTCAGTTCTGCTTATTCCCTCTCCCGTCCACCAGCAAATAACTACCTGGGATTTGCAAAGGCCTAAGAGGCTCTGATCTGTTCAGGGAGCAGAATATATATGTTCCCCAGGCCCTGGTCAGAGATATCTCCCATCTTGCAGTGATACACTGACTCTCTGGGCTCTTTGTAAGAGAAATAAATATCTTTCATTGACAAGCTGAGGGGACAGGGATTACTAGGCTCTACCCAAACCCTCTTTTTGTGTGACTTTAAATACCTTGTGCAATCAGTGCTCTCTTCTTTTCTACAAATAGTTGCATCTCCCTAAAGTTGGAATAAATCTCCATTTTCTATACTTGCCTTGACTTTGGATTTATATTCTCTGTACTTGGGCCCCTTATAGAACCCAGGATAACAAAGAATCTCTGCCTCTTACAACATCTTCTTCATGCTTCAAGAAGCTGTGAGTCCCACTGAGCACCCAACCTCTAGTCTTAAGAAACTAGCTAAAGGTATGATGTCTGGGCTCGGAGTTGGCACCAGCATGGTGCTCGGAGCCTACGGGGACTTGGCTTGGCCCTAAAATGCCCGTTTACGACCTATCTGTAGGACTTTCCTACACTGCTCAGGGAACCGCTTTGTGTTTTGCCAGCTGAGTCATAAGGAGCAGCTGAAACCAGGAGAGACTCCATGAAATATGAAACACACTCATTAATATCAGCAGTTTGACTTGCTGACGGGAAGGTTTCCACAGGAATGATTAATGTCCTTTTATACCCTTCCTGAATGGGTAACATAGCCCATACCTCTCCTTTCTCAAAACCCCCACCCCAGCTCCCGAAAAAATCGCTGAAATGTATATTTAGAAATAAAAGTTGATTGAAATACAGGCCTGACATTCACCAGGGATCTAGGGGGCTGGAAGGCTGCCCTTGCCAAGCTGTGTGAAATGAAGAAGAGATCTTGGACGTGCCAGGAACTTTTTGATTTGATTTGGTGATGGTCAGAGTCAATCAGCCTAATTTACTTCTGCAAATGAAATAATAATGGCTATTTCTTCTTTGGTTTCAATGCCCCCAGGAGTTTTAAAACACCTCATGCCTGCTTCCTAAGTGGCTCTGCTCCTGTGGGCTGGAAATTCTGCATGCAGTCATCCCTCTCCAGGGCAGAGGAGCAGGGAAATTGCCACAAAGCTAAATAAGTCACAGATCCGAACTCAGGAGGAATTTGTTCCCCTTCCCACTACATGCCTCTCCTGAAAGCCAGATGTGGCATCACTTGGCTAGGAAGTGCCATAGGTTCACCCTCCACTGGTTTTCCTGCCAGGCTATTTGGGCACCTTAGCATCCTTCTTTGCACACAAACAAGTGTTGCCCTGACCATCTTTCTAAATAGGACTAGGAAATCCTCCTTTGACCCAAGTAGCTATTTTCACCATTTCATGTTAGATAAGCCCCCAGCCCTTTCAATCAGGCAATAAGAGGGGTTTGGGTTTTTGTTTTTTTCCTCCCCAGATTGCATGAAGTGGCTGAACAACACCACACCTTTCTTCATTTTCACAAACTGTCCCTTTCCCCTTCTCTGAGAACTATCCTAGGATACATTCAAAAAGCACCCCCTTCATATTTGTATATGGATCAAATTCAGAGTGTCCCCAGATTATAGTTTGGCTTTATGAGAAAAGCCCATTTGTCATAGTCTTGGTCAGTCTCACTTCTAGAGACTCAAATCGTAGCTGGAGCCTAAACATTCTGAAAACAAATATTTCTAACACATGTGCAACCCTTTAAGATACATAAGACTCGTGGAGCATCGTGATAGTGGAAAATTGCCCCAGAAAGCAATTTTCTTCGTTTCTGAAAGATTAAACAAATTAAATGGGATATGGGTTAAGGTAAGATAGAAAGTATAGATGTTACCAGACAAAACTTTCACTTAAGTGAGACCCATACCTCCTGGGTCAAGAGGTAATAGGTTTGGCTCTGACTTCCCCAGGAAACTGTTCCCGCTCACAGACTAGGAAGTACCAAAACCACAGTACGGTGTAAGTAGCTAGAGGACTATCTCCCAGCCTTTTGGGCAGCTAAGGCAACTGACTCTAAATACTCTTTCCAGATGCACATTTCTGGTCAGTGACCCAAGGTATCATTGTCCTGAGGCCGCCGTAACAAATTACCACAAACAGTAGCTTAAAGCAACTAAAACTGATTCTCTCACTGTTTTGAAGGCCAGCAGCCAAAAAAAATCAAGGTGTCAGCAGAGCCATACTCCCTTCAAGGCTCTATGGTTGAACTGTTTCCTGCCCCACCCCTGTCCCCTGGTGCCTTCCTTGTTTGTGGCTGCAGGACTCCACCTCCTACCTCTGTGGTCACACCACTTTCATGGTCATACTGCCTTCTCCTCTTCCCTGTGTATAACCTCCTCTGTCTTTCTCTTAGAAGAACATTTGTGGTGGCATCTAAGGCCTACCCAGATAATCTCAGAGTTCTTAATTATGTCAGCCGTATATTTATCTTATCCAAATAAGATAACACAGTTTCCAGGGATTTGACTTGGATATCTTATGGAAGGTCATTTTTCCAAGTAATTACTGTGAAGAGGCCCCCTAATTAACATCTGTGAGGTGACGGGCACAAGGTTCCTTCCCCAGGCCTCACCTTTGGGGCTCCTCTGATGCTTCTTCCTCTCCCCAGGTGGATGGTGACTTCCTGGTCTGCCTGTACCCGGAGCTGTGGCGGAGGCATCCAGACACGCAGAGTTACCTGTCAGAAGCTGAAAGCCTCTGGGATCTCTACTCCCGTGTCTAACGACATGTGTACCCAGCTAGCCAAACGGCCTGTGGACACCCAGGCCTGTAACCAACAGCTGTGTGTGGAGTGGGCCTTCTCTAACTGGGGCCAGGTGAGGGCCACACGGCTTTTATTTGAAAGTTCATCCTAAAGGTGCAATCCCTGCCACAGTGGGAAGTAAATGCCACCACTGCCACCTCCTCTGTGACATCCCCGCTGTCCCTAATCCCACCCTGTATCATTCCTAACACCCAGGGCACCTGGATCCTTCTCTAACCTTAACACACTCTAACCTTAACACACTGTTTACGGGGCACACATTTCCTTCCTCCACCCTGAGGCCTTTCTGTTCTTGGATCCCRGAACCCTCAGACACCTTCTTCAGACTCGCACACTCTCAAGCCACCTTTTCCCACCTATTGTGCCAGTGTCCCCTCTGCGGACTGCTCTTGGCCAGGGTTCTCCTCTGGTCACATAGTTATAAGCAAACTTTTTAACCACCAATGTCAAGATCATAACTCCCGACGAGCCCAGGTCAATTCCTCTGGGGTGTGATCAAGCTTAGGTGATTCTTAGAAACTCCTCAGGTGATGCTGATATACAAACAGGGTAGAGAACCATTGTTCTGAGTCAGGAAGACTTGAAGCCTAGCTYGGTCACCATAAAACAATCAACTCCTTTCTCAATTCTCTGCCTAGAAGTGACTTCAGTCCCAGGTAAGCTCAATGGACAGCAGCAATGGGGGCTTRTTTGACCCCAGGAGCTCAGTGATGGAGTTTCCTCTAGGTACAGTGGAGGGTCCATGATGGTTCTACCCATTTGGAGTGAGAATTTTATGTTGGTGATTTTTAAAAGGAGATTGACACAAACTGAAGATTCCCAGGGGGTTGKGGAGCCATCCTAAGCAATGGTGGACGTTGCACCATGGCAGTAGGAATCCAGGGGGACAGGGTCCCTGTACTCTCAGTGTTTCTGGGCCAGGTGGGGCTGAGCATCAGTCAATAACTCCAGTATACATTAGAGAGGCAGGTTTTTCCCTGTCCAGGTGGATAAGGCCTATTAAGCATAGAAAGTTATCCTACTCAGCTTGTACTCTACTATTTTACAGTGTTATTGGCACCAAAGAAAATCAGGGGTAGAGGTGCTTAAGGGAAATAATATATACCATTTCTCCAGAAGTCTATGTTCAAACCCTTCTAGAGGCTTAGCAGGCATGTAAGARCTGCCGGCCAGGGCTGATGTTCAGACTTGTCTGGACTGGCACTCGTTAGCAAAGGGAGTATTCTGACTTTGGGGCATAGTTTCATGGCTAGCCAGCTGGGACACTCCCCAAATCACAGACTTTACTGTAGGACCAATGTAACAATGTTTTTAGACAATTAGTAAACTTGAAACTTGTTGGAATTGGTTTATTCATGTTCCTCTACTGCCAGCCTTAGGTGTAATCTTTGGAAAACAATCACTTGCAACTTCCTATGACATTAACATGCTGTGTCAGTCTCTAATATAAAGATCAAACATTCCTGGCCACAGAGTAAATTTGCATCTCTTAGCCATTTGTATCTCAGGTAAGCCAGGGGGTTAATGCTTAGCCCGCTGCCCACCGGCCAACACACCTGTCCAGCCCTTTATTTCCAGGGGCTGGCCTGTATGTGCTTCATATTCAGAGCAACATGAGCTCCACCTTGCTTCTATGCTAGAGTAAGGGGGTGCTGGGGAGGTATTTCTCTTATCTTGAAAAGCCCACTTCTGACAGCTCTCACACAACACAGCTCTGCTGCCAGGTCCTCAAGGCTTACTAGCAGTTTGTGAAGCTGGGATTGGGAACAGATCTGGGGACACATGGGAAATGTTTCTGCATTGACATCAAGGCCACTCAAGGGGACATTTGATCATTCTCAGTGATTCCTCTTCCCAACAGAGAGAAAAACACATAAGTCTTTTCTACATTCTTTTCCCTCAWACTCTTCACTCCTTTCTTCTAAAGTCCCTAGGCCAGTGTATATAGAGAATTAACATGAATCACCTGGGGATCTTGTTAAATATGCAAATTCTAATATGATAGGCCTGGGGTAGAGTCTGGGATGCTTATTTTTTTTCACATTTTATTGGTGCATTATAATTGTACATAATGATGGGATTTGTTGTTACATATTCATACATGCACACAAATTAACTATCATTTGGCCAATCTCTCTCCAGCACTTCGCCCTCCCTCCCCTTAGTCCTTTTCCTCTACTGATCTCCCTTTGATTTTGGGATTCACACATACACACACACATACACACACACACACACCCCTTTCTTGTCCTTTTTGCTCTCAAGCTTCCACATATGAGAGAAAACATGACTCTTGACCTTTTGAATATGACTTATTTTGCTTAACATAATGGTTTCTACTTCCACCCAATTTCTTGCAAATGACATTATTTTTCTTTATGGATGAAAAAATCCTCCATTGTGTGTGTATGTGTGTGTGTGTGTGTGTGTGTATATATATATATATATATATATATATATATATATCACATTTTCTTTAACCATATATCTGTTGGTGGACACCTAGGCTGATTCCATAATTTGGCTATTGTGAACTGTGCTGTTATAAACATGGGTATGCATGTATCACTGTAGTGTGGTGACTTTAATTCTTTAGGACAAATACCAAGAAGTGGTCTCACTGAGTCATATGGAGGTCCAATCTAGTCTTTTGAGGGACCTCGGTACTGATTTCCATACTGGTTGTACTAATTTGCAATCCCACCAACAGTGTAAAAGTGTTTTTCTCCACATCCTCTCCAGCATTTATTATTTGTATTCTTGATGGCTGCCATTCTGACTGGTATGAGATAAAATCTCAGTTTAGTTTTGATTTGCTTTCCCTAATTATCAATGACACTGAACATTTTCTTTTCATATATTTGTTGGCCATTTGTATTTTTTGTTTTGAAAAGTATATTTGCCATTTCCTAATTGGGTTATTTCATTTTTTTGGGTGTAAAGTTTTTGGGATTCTTTATATATTCTGAATATTAATCCTCTACCAGAAGAKTAGTTAGCAAAGATTTCCACCCATTCTGTAGGTTCTCTCTTCACATTAATAATTGTTTCCTTTGCTGTGTAGAAGTTTTTTAATTTAATGTCATCCTGTTTATTAACTCTTAGCATTATTTCCTGAGCTTTAGGCGTCCTATTGAGAAAGTCGTCCTGTACCTAAAAGTTGAAGTGTTGACTGTATGACTATATATTGTAGGAGTTGCATGGTTTCTGGCATAATTCCTAGGTCTTTGATCTMTCTTGAATTGATTTTTTGTGCAGGGTGAGAGATAAGGGTCCAGGAGTTGGAGTGTGACAGATGCCAGAGTAATTTGTTTCTTTACTAAGCTGTTGTCCCAGGCCTCTGAATCTTACAAGTCTAGTCTCTCTTGATGATTTCCATTGTTCTCTATGGTCACTCACTTCAAAATGTACCTGTACGCCTGTTACTTTGGTCCATCTTTGTGGAGAAAGAGGCAAGTGCTGGGCACATCTCTGTTGCCAGCTTGTCTTCCTCCCCCAGWAGAAAGATTTTAAACAAGAGTTGCAAGCTCCGATTATACTCTTAATAGATTACCCTGTCAGCAATTTAGTGACTGAATTGGAAAGTAACAAGAATAGAGAAAGAGAAACCTAATGTAGGTAAGAAATTATGGTGATCAGAATGTATGCTTTGGTCAGTGGAAATGGACAGGAGATACTATGACAGTGTGATTCATATGGTTCCAGTGAGCCACTGGCTGTCAGAGAGAGGAAGCAAAGATGATCCTCGGATTTCTGGTGGAACAATTAGGAATACAGGAAAACGAAGATGGGTGTGATAAATGTGTAGTATGTTTATAAAATATTCCATTAGAGATATTCATTAGACAGTTGGGTGTATGAATATGGAACTTAGAGCTGTGCTGACCAGAGTGTATTGAAAGTCATCAGTATCAAGTGATAACTAGGTGTCATGGGTGGTATCGCCTTGAAGCATGATCTAAAGAAAAGGCACAAAACAGAAACCTGGGGAATCCTAATCAAACTGTGAGAAGGTGGTAAAGAACATAATAAGAAATAAGTTTTAGTACATTCAGAGCRTGATCCAACTCTGTTGTCCACAAGAGACTCTATTTAGATCTAAGGAAAAAATAAATGGAAATGAAAGAATTTATATAAAAGTCCATGTAAATTCTATAAATTCTAACCAAAGGAGAGTTGGGGGTGTCTATACTAATATCTGACAAAGTAGRCTCTGTATTTAAAAAAAAAAAAAAGGGTCGACGATTAACCAAAAGTAGGTAGAACATTATGGTATATTCATAAAACAAAATGTTGGATATCAATGAAAATGAATGTACTTCAGTTACATACCTGATGCTTCATGAGAAAAAGAAGCCAGAAGCAAAAGTAGGCATGAAATATGGTTCCTTTATGTAAATTTCAAAATCAAGCATAAAATTRACTGTGTTAAAGGTTCAGCCTTGACAGTGGGTACATTTGGAGAGGAGGAAAGGGTGAAGGGAGAAGACCTCCGGGGGCTTCTGAGTTGCTTACGGTGTTCACTTTCTTCACCTGTGTCCTGRACTGGCCACATAATTTGTAGGGTTCAGTGCAACATGAAACTGCAGGGCCCTTTCTCCACAGACTACAGCGAATGTAAAGATTGACAGTAGAGCACTGAAGCAAGCAAAGATCCCTTCTGAAGGTGTGGCTCTGCCATGCGGCTGGCTCCGTTCACTGTGTCTGAGCTCACCGAGAGCTTCTTTGCTTCACTCATGTTTCTCCATGCACACTGTCCTTCATAGTGAGAAGTTATTTTTTAACATGGTTAAAACAAAAAAATTTTGTAATGTATATTTTATCATAAAACAAAAATTAATTCTGAATCATTGGTATCAAGGGGTGTTCTTTACATTTCCTCCAACACCCATGTCTCCGTGAACAACCTTGTCAAACTGAGCCCTTCAGAGCCAGRAAGAGAAATCCCTGGCCTGGACAGAAGTGTCAGCCCAGGAGGGATGCTTTTACCTTAAGTCCCTGTCCTTCAGTGGTCCTGGATTTCTCTGAGCATCTAATGAAAATAGGAAGAGACATCTTGCTAGAAAATTTTAACATAAGAGTTGAGAGTTCATATCCCTTTGGATCCCTAGGGATCTAAAGACTCCCAGATTAAGATTCTTTGTTCCAAAATGACCTCCCACTCTCATTAAAATAGAAGGGAGACTGGTGAAGTGGAGGAAGGAGGATAGAGGAGAGGAGGGCAAGGGGAGATACTGGATATGAAATGTACCAAATTATGTTMTGTGTATGTTCAAATATGTAACAATCCCATTATTATGTATAATGAACCAATAAAAAACTAATGCTTAGGACATCAATATCCTGGAGGAGTCCTCTCCAGGTGTTCCTGGACATCATGAAATGTGACGGAAAATGCATCTCCTCTCATTATCTTGTCTGTGCATTGGTTTTCTGCCTCCTTTCTCCCTTTATAGCAGAAGGTCTTATTTTTAAATAGGCATCTATTAATAAAGCTCTCCATAAACTTTTTTAAAAAATAAAAAGTGACCTTCCAGGGATGTGTGTCCCCCTTGTGCTAACATGACAGTTGTTGGCTCAAGGCCTACTGCTTTTGCATTTTATAGACAGTTCTTGGAGGCATTAGTTGCATTAGGGCTAGGTTATGCCAACTCTGAGGAAAGCTTGGCAAGCACATGGCAAGAGAATATAAGGAGGGACTGTACATACCTCAGTCTGTCTGTGTTCAGTGTCCTGGGTTTGACCTGCAGAAAACAAGGCCAAGGAAAGGAAAGAAATGGTGGACATGGTTACTTGGATGAATTTAGCAAGAAAACAATAAGCCAACTTATTTTCCACACAGAAGGGGACAGGGGCTTGTTTAGATGTCTTCAGCTCTAAGTACATTCCTAGCACATAATGCCAAGTGCTTTTTCATTTGGTTGATCTGGAAGTGGGTTGGCCTTCTCGGACTGGCTCCACACTTCCTCTGGCCTTTGMTAGCAAAATGCCCATAGCATAGCTAACTGTCCCACTGTGACATAAAAGAAAACAAGCCAATGAATATCTTTTAGTTGGTCCAGAGAGGGAGAAGATGAATGATCTGACGACCTCCCATTAGACCTTGCAAAACAATCCTGCATCCCCTRGGGCCTGAACATTGAGCACTTCGCTGACGTGATATGTATTCCTTTTTCTGCTTTCCAGTGCAATGGGCCTTGCATCGGGCCTCGCCTAGCTGTGCAACACAGACAAGTCTTCTGCCAGACGCGGGATGGCATCACCCTACCATCAGAGCAGTGCAGTGCCCTTCCCAGGTAAGAGAAAGCCCTGGGCCTCCTCTCGGCCCCTGTGTCAGTAGCACAGAAACAAGTGATGAAAGGATGTTTCTTCTCCAACCTCCCACAGTGCCAARGGTCAGATGCCCTGTCTGCTCCTTTCTATCACCCAGGCCACTGCCCCCAACCCAGAGACCGATGGGCCATATTGTGCTTACAGGCTGGGCTTTCCTCTCAGTAGGATGAAGCATGCAGGAGTGTTTTTCTCAGAGTTGGGGGRTGTTGCCCTAATCCCAAGGCAGGCAAAGAAGCAAGGTCTACCTGGTGGCTACTGGACCTCCAGGGCTCCACCAGCTCCTCATTCTTGTTGACCCCTCTCTAGAAGTGAGGCTGAGATGAGGTGCCATATTCTGGATACCAACTTTTCATTCCTATCCAGCCTCCAACCCCTCTTACATCTCTTTGTAGATGTCCCCTGAGAAGAGAGCTTATCACCTCTCATAAGACTCCAGCCCCTGAGGCCAGGTCCAAGTTCTCCCTCTACCAGCCTCCACATGGCATAGAGCTCCTTCTTGGGTCATGTACAGACACAGACATTGTAGCGAAGAGCAGATGGAAGACCAGTCAGGGAAAGAAGACTTTTGTGGCCATTCAGTAACAAAACAGAGATCAGAACCTAGGTCTGGTGATAATGGAAGTTCTTAAGGAGTTGGCTGACCTTCCTGGTTTGGGAACATTATTTTCACATTTGGCCCCATAGAGACAGATCTTAATCATGCCACCCTCTTCCTGTAGGCCCGTGAGCACCCAGAACTGCTGGTCAGATGCCTGCAGCGTACACTGGAGGGTTAGCCTGTGGACCCTGTGCACGGCAACCTGTGGCAACTATGGCTTCCAGTCCCGGCGGGTGGAGTGTGTGCATGCCCGCACCAACAAGGCTGTGCCTGAGCACCTGTGCTCCTGGGGGCCCCGGCCCGCCAACTGGCAACGCTGCAACATCACTCCATGTGAAAACAGTATGTTCCAATCCCAAAGACCTTTCTGCAATTTCCCCACAGGGCATCGGGTGCAGAGGGCAATCCCTAGGACTGAGCCTGAACATAGGGCACTGGATCAGGTACCCCAAGGATTGTGAGCTGGAGCCAGAGTTGAGCATTTACAGGCAGGTGTGTGGGTGTGTAAAGAAGTGTGTATACATTTCCTAGCCACAAAAATGGCAGCGTGTGCCCCAGGGGCTACCACCATCTTCATCCTGGTCCAGAGATGGCCAAGTATTGTTGGCCAACTGCTGGGTAAAATTGGCCTCTAGCTCACCTGCAGACCAGCTGATGCCCAGAGGGGACGACTAAACAATGGCAGTCAGGAGCCCGGCTGTTAGAGAAAGCATTGTTAACACTGAAGCAGCACAGAGTGCTTCCCACTCAGCCACTGGCTCCCCACCCATCGTTGTTTTGCTTCCCATGGAACAAGAACCTGCTGATCATCTCCCTCCTCTCCCACCCTGGGCATCCACSGAAACTGAGCAGAGCCCAGACCCTTGGCATTTGACACTCATTTCATTCCCTCTCCTCTCAAGTCTGGAGTCTCCTCAACCCAGCATCAGCATTTGTGTTCCAACTGGGTAGGAATCTTATTCTTTTTTTCTTCCTCTGAATCCAAAACCCAAATTGGAGACATTTCCTGATAAGGACCAAAAAAAAAAAAAAAAAGGAAAAAGAAATAAACAAATGTGGCTGAATTCAGTTTTCCCCCCAACTGACCTTCACTAAGCAATGGATTCACAACACTAAGGCAGATCCCCTGTGAACACACAACCCTTTCCTTATGGTGCACTGGGGATGCATGATCTTTGGTGAAGTGCTGACCCACGGTGGTGTCATTCTCTCACCGTGTGCAGAGAGTACCAGAGTGGAATGCAACTAGCTCAGACTGGCTTCCCAGGTCAAATCGGCACCAGTGATTAAAAACAATAATCTGYGCCAGTACTGAGCTGGAACACCATGGTGTTGTGTTTAAGGCCTGGTGGGTAGAAAGAACAAGAATCTTAGGCAGAGAATACAAGAAAACAAACTTAACAGAGAAAGTAAGGTCCCAGTGCCTTGAGGATAAAGGTTTCCAGCCAGAGCCTCACCTGCATCTCCTTCCACGTGGGRCAGAACTCAGTCCTTCTGGGAACCATCTCAGGGAGGAGAGTCACTCACTAAAATACCAAAAGCCCATGGGGAAAAGCAAGCAAGGAAGTGAGGTAGTCCCAAAAGGAGGGAAGAGACAGGAAGTAGAGGCAACTATGAAAGGCAAAGAGGGCCCAGGAATGGATCCCATCATTCAGCCAGAGGACTGAAGGCTGGTGCTGGCCCTGCTGTTGGCAGCCTGGGAGGCAAGTAGCTGAGCTCTACCAGAGTGAGAGGCACCCAGAGGGATGGAGCGCAGTGGCCACAGCAGACCTCAGCAGCCAAATGCCAGTTAGCCTCTGTTTCACATCTCCTTTCTGTCCCCTCCCCACCCCCTCCTTTCCCAGTGGAGTGCAGAGACACCACCAGGTACTGCGAGAAGGTGAAGCAGCTGAAGCTCTGCCAACTCAGCCAGTTCAAATCCCGCTGCTGCGGAACTTGTGGCAAAGCGTGAAGACAGGGCACGGGGAAGAACTCTCCCTGGCCACACAAAGGACTCACGCAACCACCTGGGACAGAACTTAAGCTTTGTTTTATTTATTTATTTCCCCCTCCCTCCCCTCACCCCCACCTCCGCCCTCCCCCCTGAGGACCTCAGCATGTTTTCTCTTTCAGTTAGCTGGAGGACAGAAGGTGGGGAAAAGAAAAGGACAGATGTCAAAAGGAGGTTGCCGAGCAGGCCAGGCAGACAGCAGCCACTCCCTGACAGGGCCGACTCCCTCCCAACCTGGTCCTCAGAGAGGCCTAGAAAGAGAAAGCCAGGGCCCCTGGAAACAGCAGGGAGCCACAGGGTTGATAAAGAATTGGTGCAAACATCAGACAACCAGCATTGTTGATGTGGTGTTGATTCTTTGTCTCCTCCTCTACCCACCCCCAACCCCTCAGTGGTGATAAGGACCATCTGAGGCAAAAGCCAACCAGAACTGGCTCTTCTCCTCCCATAGAGAACTCAAACACAGGGATAGGCAGTAGTAAAGGAGACAATCACAGTTGGCCTAGAAAACTCAGTGATGCAGGAACTGACCCAGGAAGGGAAGGGAGAGCATGAACAGAAGCCTGTGTCTGCTCATGTCACAGGCTCTGAACTCCAGTGCACCTGGCAGGTTCAGTGAAGGTGCACAAGGATGAGCAGAGCTCTGCTTCCCTCAGAGTGCCCTTGCTGCATGGTAGGAGACCTGTCCCTCACAGGGGGAGGTAGGGAGAGTGCCCGCTCCCCACACTACCTGAGTGAACTGTCCACCTATGCAACAAAGCCGGCCAGAGGTCAACACCTGGCTGGGCAGTAAGTCTGCCCAGCATCTCTTCTTTGAAATCAAGAGCCCCCAGCCTTGAACTACTAACTGCTGTGGGCCCGGGGCATATTCTGAGCAGGAGTAGGCCGGGGTTTCTGCCTAAATGGTCTTTGCTACTCTACCTAAGGGCCAAGGATTGGGGTCCCTTTGTAAAAGTCAATTCATACATCCATTTGCCAGAGAGTGAGTATCAGGCTGTGGCAACCATTTCCTTCCTGAGCTGACCAGGGAACAGGGTGGGACAGTGGGTTTGCAGGTGACTGGGGTACACTCTGCCTAATCCAGCAGCCAACTCCAGGGGCTGTGGGTGCCTGACAGAGCACAAGAGCTGCTATACATAGTATTTATGTGGCAGGTTGGGGTGGGAGGATGAAGAGCTATGGCAAAGCCAAAGGATAGCTCTAGACTCCAAGAAGGTCCTGAAAGGCTTTTCAACCCACCCTCCCCACATGGTGAACACTCTAAACCCAAGGCAATTAACACTCACCAGCTGGGGCAGCTCACGCACTGCAGCAACACCTATCAGCTGTGCTGAGCCGGCCACAGCCAAGTCCGGCAGCAAACACACTTTAGGACTATTCAGCCAATTGCTCATTCAGCAGAACAGCTTTGGGCGAGTGATTTTTTTTTTTTCCTTCCTTCTCCCGCTGAAAGGCACCAGTTTAGTAGGCTGGGCAGCCTCAGATAAGCCACCCCTCACACACTCGTGGGATGCCACTCACCCCAGGGCCACCACTGACATCAGGGCTGCATTTCCCATCCAGCCTGTAAAGTAAAATTTGGGAGGAAGACAGTATTAATCTGTGTCCTCTCTAGGTGAGCTGTGGACAATTAGGGTGGGTCTTTTGATTCCTCACCACAAACATAGGCTCTAAGAAATCATGTTACTAAAGATCAATGTAATGTTTATTTAAAATAAAAGAGAATGTTTTCTATGTATATCTTTTGTGAATATTTATTAGGATTTCTTGTATAAAAAAGTGCAATATTAATAATTGTACATTGTCATCCAGAAAAAAAAATATTGGGAGATTTTTTTTTGTTATTAACTTCCTACAGCTGTGTTCCTGTAAATTCAGTGGTGATCATTGTATTTTTCCTTCTTTTTAATAGAAGCTGGTGTTTAACTCTGGATCCATTATTCACTTTGTACAGAATACTTTGTAAAAGCTAACATGGGATGCTGGGGCAACAGGTGATTCATTTGTGTCACAGGAGTGTTTTATAGAATGGTAAAGACTTCTTCCATAGGACTCACGTGGTTGATTACATCTAGTTCAACAGGTATTGAAAATTGGCAGCCAATATTTACATTTCCTTTAAAAAAAAAAAAGAAAACAGCTGTCTTCCAGCTCCACCACATGTCAGGGTGAGGAGTTGGAAATGGGTTTCAGAGCGAGAAGAGAGCCTAGGTGTGGGGTGGGAAGAGTGTGCTCCTTGCATGAGATGAATGTACATGTAATGTTTGTTCTGTGAATCGTGACTCAGCAGTACCGCAGATTATTAGGGCTGCTGGATAATGTGGAAGGAGGCACTTCCTCCTCTAAAACACAAAACTGTATTTATATTTTTTTTGTACAGATAATACAGCTTATTTATTTAAATCTTGTTGTCCGAGTCTCTGTTAAGCTCAGCCTTCCCATCATGTTTTATACTGGGGATGAAGAAAAGTCCCTGTCAATTTGGTGGTTCCCAGCCAGTTATGCACATCTGGCTAAAACAGAAAGATTGCAGTTTTCAGCTTTGCATGGGAAGCTCAGGGCCTATATCTGGAAGGACCAACTCTCTAAATGAACCCAGAGGTGCTGCACTGGTATACAGGCACACATCCAGGCTGAGCCTGTCATCTCATTTACAGCCACATGTGGTATCCTGGGACAGATGACTTAGGTGTGGAAGTACCCTCTCCTCAAGTCAGACTTCCTATCATCAGGGTGCGAGCGGTGTCAAGCATCTGCATCATGAAACTGTGAATATAGACTGTTAATCGAGGCTAACCTTTATAGAGTGCCGAAGTCTGGCTGGGCACAATTCAGGAGCCACTTGTCAAAAGAAACTAACTTTATTTTTAGAACTACAAACGCCAAGCAAAACAGCTCCTCAGGAAAAAAAAACCCTCAGAGCCCAACTGCCACCACCGGCTTCCACAAGCCTCTCCCCACCTCCCACAATCCTCCTGCTCTTGAGGCCGATTGGCTGGGTTGCGTGGGCGGAGCCAAAGAAGTTCCCCAATGAGCAGCTCCGTGGTCTGAAAGGGCAGGGAAACAGCCCAATGAGCAGCTCCATGGAGGAGCCAATCAGCTAGATGTTGCTGGGGCCGCTGTGAGCCAATCATCAGCTGGCAGTCTGAAGGGCAGGGAAACAGCCCAATGAACACCACCGCAGAGGAGCCAATCAGCTAGATGTTGCTGGGGCCACTGTGAGCCAATCATCAGCCAGCAGCTGGAAGTTTGCTGGCAGCTGGAAGTTTGCTGGGGCCCCTTTGGCTGTGGCTCTCAACATCTCCCCCTCTCTGTTTAAACAACAAGCATGTGGCTTAGGGACCGTGCCTGCCTTAGGTTGTCCAATACTACATATGGTCCTTACCCGTCTTCGGATGAGCTGACCTCAGGGCGTCAGCCTCCTGTCTTAGGTTGGTACCATTGTAACTGGATCTTACCCGTCATTGACTACCGGTCCAGTATACAGCCACACCTGTGGAGAGGTACCAGCGGGGGGTGAGGTTCTTTGCCTCACCTCTGTTGGCCCCCAAATTTTAGCTGAACGATCATGACAAGCAGAAGGGAGGAAGATATACCAAGCCAATTCACGGCTCCTTTTGGGAAAATTGTACCACCGATGACATCATCAGCAAAAATACCCCAACACTACCACAAGTCGCTGCACCAACAGATAGTTCACAATGCATACAAGTGAGTTCACAATGCATGCAAGTGACACATAGTTTAGGCAAGTTCTGTAAGCGGTTCAGTGATGGCTATTGCAGAAACTGTAGATTAGTTTTATCTTTGTCTTCACCGACACAGGGATGAAGATAGGAATTCTGGCAATAATGGCTAAAGAAAAAATTATGTAACATTCCAGTGTCAAGCATCTGCATCATGAAACTGTGAATATAGACTGTTAATTGAGGCTAACCTTTATAGAGTACTACATTTAATCTTCACATCAACCCTATGAGTATCCCCATGTTCACAGAGGTAAATAAATGCCCAGAAAAGCTCAAGTCACCCATCTGGTGGGACCAAGCTTCACACCCAGGCAGTGTGACTGTAGCCAAAGCCTTGCCCTTCCCCACTGTGCTGTCTCCCATCCCTCTGGGAGGGTGCCATCGCCACCTCAGCACACACACCATCCTTCCCCCACTGATTTCAGGTTGGTAGATGATGAGAGCCGGACATTACAGGACTTGTTGCTTTCTCTCTGTCCTAAAATTAATTTCTTTGATTTATAGGACTCCTAGCTCTCTATTTTAAAATCATTTTAAATATAGAAATATAGCTGCTGTAGGAAGTGCAGAAAAACCCAAAGCACCTTTAGAGAGTTCTTTACAAACAGGCTCAGTAAAAGGACAGCATGTCCCCAGCCCAGGTGATGTCCACACAGGAACTGCTGGACACACTCCAGAGCACCCAACCCTGAAAGCCAAGCTCTGGCCTGTTTTCCAGATATTTACTCAACACTTCCCATGCCCCCTGAGCTGTGTGAAAACATACCCAAAAGCTCTTCCTGAAATTCTGGTCATTTTCTAAGAAATTTTGCATTTTGCTTTAAAGAAAATCTAATACTAGAACCATAAACATATGCAGTGACCAAATAATGTCCTACCATGGTCCCAGGGCCAGGGAGAGAACCCAGAAATGCCAGAGCAAAAACTCAAGATGGCTCAAGTAGTGGGAACATGGAAATTTTTCCAGCCCAAATCATAGAGCTCGACAGGGAGGGGAAAAAAGATTCCTACCAAGCAAGATGCCACAGTATAAATATTTAGAATTTTAGCCACAGGCCAGTCCTGGGGGTATTTTGTTTTGTTTTGTTTAGTGCAGAGGGACACAATACCTTTTTTTTAATTTATTTCTATGTGATGCTGAGGATCAAACTCAGTCCCTCACATGTGCTAGGCAAGTRCTCTACCACTAAGCCACAACTCCAGCCCATGGCAGGGGAGGCAGAGTATAATTAGAGGCCCTGATTACCCTCAGAAGTTTCCAGGCTCTAAATA